AGTTCCATTGATTTTTTTAAAGTCAAAATAAAGATGAGTTCTCAGGCCAGCTTCTAGTAATGGTACAATCAATCTAAAGCTACAAGATTTAAATTTCACATTACAGTAGAATGCTGTTAGTGAATAAACAGTAATATTTTGTTTTGTAAACTTTGCATTTTGAGATTTCAGCTTAGAAAAACAAGGAGATTGGTTGAAGAAAATCATGAGTAAAATATTAAGATTTAAAGGCTCTTGTGGAAAATTATCAAAAGCATTTGTTATAGAACTCGCAGCAGATTTCAAAGCATCAATTTGAACTATTTTATATAATTTACAAACAATTGGTAAGAAGAAAAATACTAAATAAATGGATTTCATTTGACAAAAATAAGGACAAAATTAATACAGTTAGTGACCTACAGTAATAATATTGAACTGTAAGAAATTGATCTGATTTAGTAATGTATTATCACTTGTGATGATACAATGAATTTTGTATAATAATCAGAAATGCTTTTATCAGTTCTTTCAATGAAGGATTCTTTACAAAGTATTTTAATGAAAGGCTGCCATGGTGGGATAAATATTTTCAGTTCAAATATGGTGAGAACTTTGGCATTGGTGACCTGATCAGATCAATTGATGCCCTGTGGAAGTGGGGAAAGGCTGACCCATTCATTCAATGCAATATACTCGATTACCACAAGAACGTGTCCATCACCTATCAATCCTACATAGACCACAATACCACAGCTTCACAGGGGACCTACAAAAACACCCCATGACATAAAAATCTAGAAATGTTCAAAGTCTCTTTTTGGGATTTTTTCTACAAAAACATAAAAATTTATATAATAATGAAAATGATGGAGGAGGGAATGAACCCAAAAACAAAAATGAAGAATACAACAAAAACCAACTAAAATAAAAGAGATGTTAGTAGGACCTGCCCACCCCTCAGAATAATAAGGGGGCACTATATTCAGCCGTGCAACAGAATCAAGCAGCACACGAAATAATAGAATGGGAAGGAAAAATTAAATGGCAGACTGGGAAAAATCAAAGCTTGACCCAAGATTAAAAAAGATGACAAAAATAAACTGGGGGGGGGGGAATTCCGACATGAATCATAACAAAAGAGAGTGCCGGGTAGGAAAAACAAAATAGCGTCTAACTTAACCAGGGGGGGGGTCCCAGGAAACCGCCCCGTTGCATTAAGGTGACCTAAAAGAGAAAATGACGCAAACCAGGCTCGCCACAGATACCCACCCTTTCCTAAAATCTGTCAGTATCAAACGCTGAGCTGATGTCCAAAGAATCCAACCAGATCCTGATGAGAATAACGCTCATATCACAAGATCCCCTCCATTCGCGACGTCCACACCACCGTTTCATCCCAGAGAACGGGGGCGACACATTGTCACACGCGAATACGTGATCGATGGACACAAGCTAATCGGGAGCGATACGAGCCGTCAGCTCGTCGACATAGTCTCAGAAAGGGCGCGCCTGAGGACAATGGTAGAAGGCGTACGCTGCCGTTTCTTCTAAGCCAAAGTCGCACCGATTACGCCCTACCTCATCTGAAGGCTACGTCGTTAAGAGATAGCACTTCCGAATCAATCGCCAGGTAAACAAAAACTCAATGCTTCTAGCGCCCAAGACCAGAAAGAGCGCAACCAGAAAAGCCGATCCGGCCACAAAGCGGGTCTTTCGCGACCACTCCACTAATTCACTATACAGTAGCCTACGTGAAAGGAACAACCCTCAATGCCGCTCGACCTTCACTGAGGAAACTCAACAGCTTACTGGGCCTACGATGGCGTTTAGCTCAAAAATATGTGTGAAAGGCGTCGCTAACACTCCCAACCAAAATCGAGTCCTCTGTCAAAACGCTGCGTATAAAAGCCAACCTCGAAGCGTGTCGATGATTCACCACTAGTGGTAATCCCAGCGCCCCATGACACGGACGTTGGACACACACTTCTTAACGGACCTTCTGCTTGCGGCCACCCAACAAGAGGGTGGACAACAAGCGCTCGATCGCCTTCGTACGGTCCTTGCAAAGAGGAAGTACAGCCAACAGGTAAAGGATGAGTGGAAAGACATAAGCGGTACAGGTCCTACCCCTCAAAGACAACCTCCTTCGGACCCAAGTCTCGACCAACGCTCCGACCTTTGCCTGTACTTCTAACCAATTCTTCTCTACCTGGAGTACGGGTCCGAACCAAATTCCAATGAGGCGGACGGGTACATTAGTCCAGCCAAAGATCCTCGGAAGAATGGCCCCCTTCCAGGCACCTAACCGCAAGCCTTGTTGCGGTTAATCTTGGCTCCCGTGACCTTTTCGTACCGTTCAAGCGTCTTATGTAACTCCTCAATGTCGCTGCGGCACGACATGAAAATGGATCATCGGCGTACGCAGAAACTATGACTCGAGCCCTACCAGGGACAGCGATTCCACGTAGAGCCGGACTGCACCTCCTGTACCTTAGCCGGTGAAGCAGGGGCTCCAAAACCAAAGCGTAAAGTAAGGGCGGCAGCGGACAACCCTGACGAACCGACCGAGACAGCGCAAAACGTTCGACCGATTCCCGTTCACCTGTATCAGAGCACCGAGTGAGTGATACAGTAGGCTTATTCACTTGCAGAAATTGGATTCGAATCCGGCAGCCTGCAGGACAACAGCCAGATACCGATGGTCAACCCTGTCCTTGGACTGATCTAAATTGATCGGCGCGGTTTGTTCGTCGTCTTCTGCACCCTCTATAATCGTGCGGACCAGATGCAGGTTGCTTTGAATTGTTCGTCCCTTCACAGCACAAGTTTGCTCAGATCCTAACAAGCTCGTGACAACTGACTGCAAACGCTCCGTAGGAATCTTGGCCAAAATCTTTAACTCTGTGTTTAGAAGAGTTTAGACCTATAGTAATCTAATTCCCACCTAACATCCTTGCCCTTTTTTCAACGGCGTGATCACACCCCTGGAGATCTGGTTGGGGATGGAGCCTTGCCAGAACCAGTTGTTGAACACCACTGTCAAAATTGGAACAAAGATGTTCGACAGCCTCAGCTACATTTCGTATAGCAGACCATCATGTCTTGCCACTGCCGACTCTCTTCAATGCCAAGTGAACTTCGCCCTCTGTAATCTCTTCCTCGTAGCAAGCCGCTTCAGTCGGTTCAAGCCGAGGAAACTCAGCTAAATAGCTGCGAAACTCGTCACCACTGAGACTAGGTTCCTTGATAAAACGGATCTCAAAATGCCGCTGAAACGCCTCACACATGCTATCAGTCGACCTCAGAGTACTCCCTCCTCGCGAATGTATCATTCGGAACGTCGGCGGATCTCTTCCTTACGCAATTCTGCGCCCATATGCACAACTTCATTAGACATCTTGTTTACCTGACCCTGGTTGCGCTTTCTAGTCTCACGCTCCAGAGCCTGCAAAGCTAGTACTAATCTCCAGAAGCCTCCGCCTCACCAGCGTCTTCAACATCTTAGCATTATCTAAGACGAGTCGTTGGCTATATTCGGTGGTGAAAGACCTAATCCTATACTTAAGTCTCTACCATCACGTATTCCCAATAACTGCCCCCACTAATTCCCGCTGCACTAATCTAGTAAGCTGTTGCCGGAAGTTTCGCCTGTCCAGTAAATACATATTGAACTTCCAGTGTCCAGCTATTCGAGCACAGACGAGTCTATGGTCCGAATAGTCTAAACGGTGAAATGTGGGACAATCTAGTAAATCTAGATCGACTCTTCTCACTAGCATTCTGTCCAGGTAGCTGGCTACTCGGAGAGACGGCCACTTAAGTGCCCTCCGTCCACATCTCCCTTCTCGGATGATCGACCCGGTATCACTCGACGAGTCTAAACTCGCCAATCAGATTAACCAAACTAATAGCCCGATAACCTCCCGCTAGCTCCTCGCCTTCTGTCTATATCGCGGTCCAGGATGGCATTCCAGTCCCCCATCAAGAGTAAGCACGATGAATCCACCAGGAATGACACGAACTGACGGAAAAATTGACTCGCTACCCCCGATCGTTGAAACGATCCACAGCTCACGGCAGTATCGGCCACGATCAAATCGCGTCGATATGGACCAGCTTCACCCTCGCACTCAGGGAACATTTAACTAACAAGGAAACACCTCTAGTCAGCCGATCCCTATATGCTGAATAGATAACAAAGTCGCTAGACAGCACGCGAGCATCAACATCGCAAACAGTGTCTCTTGGATCGCAGCTACATCTACGCTGAAGGACAAGAGAACCCGAAGCAGGGAATTGTAGCGTCCCCCCCCCCGATGCTCAGCGTCTCTCTCGGCCTGGGGGCGTTCGTCCGGCAGTGAACGGTCGACTCGGAACTGGTACGGACCGGGGGAATCCGACTGTCTAATTAAAACAAAGCATCGTGTGGCCGGTCGACCCGTACAGACACGATGTGATTTCTGCCCAGTGCTCTGAATGTCAAAGTGAAGAAATTCAACTAAGCGCGGGAGTAACTATGACTCTTTTAAGGCGCCGTCGGTCCTTGAGAGGGGAAATAGTGCTGGGCCTCCTCCTATAGGGTCCCGCCGGTAACAGTCTACGGACTGGCTAAGAGCCCGGGAAGTCGTCCGCAGACGTTAAATATGGGGTGTCTGTGCTCCCTATATGCTCGGATCTCTGTGGGTATGCCATTCCCTTTTGATTGTATTTTATTGGCCTCTTAGTAATATCCTTATGTAGTTCTCCCGTCCAGACTTGACGGTGGCCAAAAATTATTTCCCCGACAGAGCGGGGGGGTTGCGCATGCTTGGGAGTCGCTGTTTACCTGTTGTCGCTTGCAGAGTGAATTCGTCCGCCGTGGTATGTAGCCGCCGTTCTTCTGGCATTGGTAGTGAGGGAAACAAGGCGAATCTCATCATTGTTCAGAGGGGCCCCAGTCGCTTGTCGGGGGACTAACTCACCTAACCTTTTTGGGTTAAAGGGAATTCCCCGGCCCTCGCCTGTAGATGACGATTAAAATGCGCTCTACCTCCTCGTGGTGGCATTTGGGCAACGCCCTTCGGGCGGCGAATAAATGCAATTGGCGAGGTGCCGTGAGTTAGCTAAATGCCTCGTCATCTAATGGTGGGGTTGCTGGTCCTTGAGGAGGGAATGGTGCTGGGGCCCCCCCCTCCAATAGGGTCTCGCCGGCTAATAGTCCAGATGTCGTCCGCAGACGTTAAATGTGGGGTGCCCGTGCTTCCAAAATGCGCCGATCTCTGTGGGGTTGCCATCCCCCTTTGATCGTATTTCATTGGTTGTACTCGTAATACCCAGCCTCGGCATTCCCCCGCCTCGACTGACGGTGACCAAATAAGTTTTCTTGTAGATCGTGATGGTGATTCCCTTCGTTGGAGTTGTGCTGTTTGCTCTCGCGCTTTTGAGCGTTCAGCCGGACTCTCTGCCCATATGTACCAAAAACATCCTAATCAGTGGAACGAGTTAAAGAAACGGCGCGACGCCTCATATCGCTCGCATGCCCGCACCTACGTTCGATGGACGAGAGAAGACCTCAAGCGTATGGCTGCGTTAGAGCGCGAGGCGTTTTCCCTAAACGTGCATAACATCAATACGTATATCGGATCCTGCATGCCACGTAGCAGTAATCAAGTTGGCTGCAGGCGACGTAGGAAGGACTATCGAGACCTTCTGAAATCGCTTGAGAACCCCGCCCCTTGTCCCGGCCCTGATAGTGTTCAGTCCCAAGTGGTTCTCGGCGACCTGCCCCCTTCTGGATCTCCACCGGCCCGTCCGGTTGTCCCGTTGAAGAGGACTTGCCGCATTTGGTCTGGCCCCGAGATTAAAGTTCTTACCTCTGCGCCACGTGGTACAACTGATGCTGACTTGGCCCCCCTCCTTCCTGGCCTCTCTATCTCTGCCATACGTTCGAAGAGGCGTCGACTTCCTGTAGTCGTCTCTCAGGTTGGTAGTGCGGTTGCTCCACCTCAGGACACCGTGGATGAGGAGCCGGATACGGCGGTAGCTCAGCCGGACGATAACGTACAGCAGGATAACGCTCTTGGTTTTGTTGAGTATATCACCAGCCTTTTACCTTTGATTTCTGATACGGCTATTCGGAACAAGGCCGAGCAGGCCCTCAACGATCCCGACGGCTTTTCCTTGCTATATTATGAAGTATTCCCCAAGAACAGGACCGTTAACAAACGTTCAAAGCCGACCGTGAAAGCAGGAATCCGCCGACGTCGCTTGCAACGTTCGGCCGTCTATAATTTCCTGCAGAGGCTCCACACCAAAAGTCCGAAATCGGTTGCCGAGAGGGTCGTCGACAGGGATCTCTCTTATGAGGGTCTCGTTGCCGAGCGATCTTTCTCCGATGAGGATTTTATGCGTAAGAGGAAACCAGTTTTCGAGCGTTGACTGTTTTGCGGACCTGGCCGGAGACGATCCCGGCCCGCCGATGAACGATCTTATTTCCCCCCATTCTCGTGTCCGATGTCGTCTCTGCCCATGCGTCTATGAAAGAGTCATCCCCCTGACCTGATGGCCTACGCCTTAACATTCTGCGGGAGGTCCCCGTTAAAGTCATCACCCTGCTGTGTAATCTGCTTTTGTTGAAGGGTCCGCCTCCCTCCAGGGGTAAAGCCGGTAATATTTTCACCTCCCGGGTGACTTTCATCAAGAAGGTGGAAGTACCCGGTGATCCCCTGGAATTTCGACCAATTGCCATTGGGAACTATTTTGTGCGAGTGTTCCACCGAGTCCTGGGGAATCGCCTCGAAACATCCCTGCCCAACCATAAAGACCAGGTAGGGATTCAACATCTTGATGGGATTGAAACTACATGCGGCTATATCTGAGGCCCGTTCGAGGAACGAAAACCTGGTTGTCGACTCTGTGGACATTAGGAAGGCGTTTGACTCAATCTCGCACAAGGCTCTCCTTGGCATTTTGCGGCGGAATGGGGTTCCTGACCTCCTTCTGGATTACTTTCGTTTGTACTTCAACTCTAGTAGATTGCAGATCGAGAGGGATCTGATTCAACCGGCCCATCGTGGGGTCAAGCAAGAAGATCCGTTATCCCCTTGGCTGTTTCAGATCGCGATGGATCAGATTCTAGAGGAGCAGGAGGAGTATGCCTTTTCTATCGGTGCTTTAGTGTTGAATCAAATGGCTTATGCCGATGATCTCATACTATTCGCCAGCTCCCCTGACGAGATGCAGAAGCGGATTGATCGGCCTCTTGTCGGTCTCGGTCGAACTCAATGATCTTAAATGCCGAGTGTTATGCATTCGTGGGAACAAGAAGAGGAAGTTCTGTTTTGTAGACACATCGGTGTCTATTAAGGTGAATGGCGTAACCCTCCCGGTTGTGACTGCCGAGTCTGAATTTGACTATCTCGGAGTACGGTTCAACTGGAGGGGTGTCGCTCGGACCCTACTTGGTCTGGATCTGCTCTTGACCAGGCTTGATCGAGCTGCATTAAAACCGCAGCAAAAACTTAACTTCCTTAAGAAATTCTTGCTTCCGCGTTTGCATCACAGCCTTGTATTCGGCCGCCATCATAGGGCTGAGTTGGTGAGGGGGGATAAAAAGATTCGTCGGGCGGTATGTATTTGGCTTCGGCTGCCTGCGGACTGTCCCAATTCCGCCATTCACTCTCCGGCGAGATTTGGTGGTTTGGGGGTTTCTTCTCTCGAAATGCTCGTTTCCACGCTGAAGGACAAGCGCCTAAGCCGGTTTTCCGAGGAGTACGCAGTGGATGCCCCCGTTGCATCCAACCCTTCAGTCCGCTACTTAATGACATACAGATTCAGCAACGCTATCAATTGCACCCGCGAAGGCCTGGTTGAAGACCTACTTAGTAGGCTGGGGCATCGTTGATGGACTCCGACGGAAGCGACACAACAATGTTGTGCTTTTCGTGGCGCAAGCCATGAAGAAGTTGAATCTTGATGTCATTATGGAGCCGCGCTTTGAGACTGAACGGGGTTTGCGTAAGCCTGACCTCATGGTCCGCACTGAAAGGGAGTTGATTTTCCTGGACGTTCAGATTCGCCCAGATTCTGTTGTATGTAGCCTTAATACGTGCAATAAGGAGAAGATCAACAAATATAACCAGCCGTACTTTCTTAACGCGGTCCGTGATCGTTATGGTAGCGATCTCCCCATCCGTGTCGTTGCTCTAACGTATAACTGGCGAGGGGCGGTTGCCCAACAGTCGTATCAGGATTGCCGCACATATCGGCTGTTACGGTGGAGACATTATGGGATGATTTCCAGACTTGTTCTCCGTGATACTGCTCGCATGCTCCGGCGGAGGGATTAACTCGCCCTGCTGCTACGCCGAGGCTGCTCTTAGACTGTTCTGAATAGTCATTTCTGAGTCTAACTTCCTCAATTAATAAAACATAAAATCAAATAAAAATATATAAAACTATAAAACGCACAAAAATATTAATATTCATTGATTCTTATCCCTTTCCTTACTCCGGCGTACTGTAGGGACTTCCGGTCTACAGAGGACTAACTCACCTAACCTTCATAGGTTAAAGGGAATTTCCCACCCCCGCCCAAAGATGACATCTAATGCGCCCCACCTCCCCGTGGTGGCATTTGGGCAACGTCTTTTGACAGCTAAGTGGGCGTACCGGCCTAGAGCGACGTGGGCTGGTGGGCGGTGTGGTGGTGAGTTAGCCTCGTCATCTAATTAGTGATGCGCATGAACCATTTTACAATTATCCGAATTACGTCTTCGGATAATTGTAAAATGGTTTATCATCAATAGTAGATGTGATTACCCTGAAGAAAACTCAACAGAGAAAAATCAAGTAAATTCAGTTTAAAGATAATCTGGTCAATTTTGTAAATTTTGAAAGTTGTGGGTGCGGCAACCTTTGCTTTTTTTTACCATCCAAGGCGCATTACGGGCGTCCGGCTACCGCGAACGAAGGTCTTCGACGGACTTAGGCATTTAATGATTCGACGGACTTACGCACTTACCTTCCAAGGCGCATTACGGGTGTTCAGCGCGCAAGGGATATCACCGGCACACACGACTATTTCCTATGTGTGCAAAATAGGACGAGGAAAAAAACCGGACTTACGTACTTGCCTTTCAAAGCGCATTACGGGCGTCCGGCGCCCTCAACGGGTGTTCAGCGCGCAAGTGACATCCCCGGCACACACAACTATTTCATCTGTGTGCAAAATAAAACGATGAAAATACCCATCAAGCGAAGGCGAACGAAATTTAGTAATTTACTTTGTTTCCAAGCCTTTTCTTCTCGGTACTACGAATATAAGTCGACAATTTGGTCGTCCCTCGAAGAGGACGAATCGATTCGGTCGAGGGCTTAATCTCAATAGATCGCAGTGTGGTGGCCGCTCTACTAAGAACGACACCCCGAGCCTGAAGTCAAGTGGTCCACAAGCGATCCCTCGACTCGCGCTCCACGGGGGGTTCGATATCAGACGGAGACGCCAAAACCCCGTCTGTCGCGGATGTCAAATCGGGTGGCCCTTTCGTGAACGCCGACGCGTGTGAAGCGATAGCAGCCAAAGTAGCGACCGCGCACGGCGACGACGAGCGCCACCGACGCGGACCACGACGACCGCGACCGCCCCTAGCGACGGCAACCGCTATCGGAGGCTCCAGCAGAACGAAAAGAGACGCCTTTTGAAATACCGTGACGGCACCGGTCGTGGTTCCGGCTTAGAGGCTTTCATGGCTGATGCTCAACTTCACCTTTCTGTTTGCGCCTTCTTGGTCTAACATTTTCCACTAACCTGAGCTAAAACAACTACATTGAACCAATAGCTACATTTACTGCAAGGAAAGTTGGTTCTCTGTGTCGCGCCAGAAGATTTTTCTTCTCTGAGTCCATCCTTCAAATCTACAAATCTACCATTCGTCCTTGCATTGAATACTGTTGCCATATATGGTCTGGTGCCCCCGATGTTCATCTCGAGGTTCTCGAAAAAATCCAAAGGGTATGCTCTCGACTCCAGTCATTTTCTCACTGACGTGATGTCACTCTCCTCTATCTTTTCTACAAATATTTTCATGGCAACTGCTCTGACGAGCTTTTTTTCCCTGGTGTCCCGACTACATAAATTTAAGCGTGCTACTACGTTGGCATCTCGGTCCCACCCTTTTACTGTTGGAACAGTTAAATGCAACCGCTTCTTCTATCCCAACAGCTTCTTCTCGCGCACTTCCTAACTGTAGAACTCCCTTCCTTTTACTTGCTGATAACTATAATTTTCAAAAAATTAAATGTAATGTCAATCTCTTTATCCTTTCCTAAAACACCCCTCTTTACTCTTACGTTCACTCTCTGTAACTCTTTGCGTGCTATGGCACTCCTGCCTTGCTTAGGGTGACATAAAAAAAACAATATATAAAAATATATATATATATATATATATATATATATATATATATATATATATAAAATCAAAATTACAAACCTTTACAATTAATTTCATCAGAACCCTCTCCACAATCATCATGGCCATCACATTTTAATACTACAGGTAGACATTTTCCAGTTCCACATCTATAGTGTCGTGGCACGTGACATTCAGTAACTGTAAAATAGTACATTCACTTTTAGAATACTGGTATTTTTAATTGAATACCAAAAGAATAATAACTAATAAATCATAATAACTAATAATAACTCATAAATCTAATATTAAATGTTTTGTAATATGCCAAAAGAGTTTTTCTTTATGTCTTCTGGGGTGACTCATTTACATATGAAATCACAAAAAAACTATAAATAGCTCCCTATGAGTCAGTTGAGTGCATACTATTTCCCTTCGAGTCAGTAACACTACAATGGCGCGGCCGATAACTAAAGAACCGAACGGACAATTATCATTGGATAATTATGAATACACACACGCGTGGTGTGATGGGTGTGATGCCATTATACAATTATCAGCAATTGCACACCCAAGGCAGTTGGAAGAAATGACGCCTGACGATATGTCAACTAATAGTTAAAAACACAGCACACAAGAAAATATTAGTGAAGCAAAGAGAGCTAAATTCATGGATATTTATCAAAAAATGAATGAACCAGTTAATGAATATGTTCTTCGTTTAAAACAGGCCGCTAAATATTGTGAATTTGAGAAACTGGGGTCGGAAAACCAGTCAATCGAAGAGGATTTGATGGAAATTAAATTAGTAAACGGCTTTCAAAATGAGGTGTATCGGCAAATGACTCTAATGCATTTACAACTGGGAAAGTTGTCACTAGAACAGTGTGTCGAATTTGTTCAACAACAAGTGACATTTGAAAATTTAAAAGCTGTTCTGACAAAGAAGGCAATGGTAAAAATATTCGACCCTAGAAAGGAAATATTAGTAACAACTGATACTAGTGAATACTCAATTTCGGGTTTTAGCCCAGGTGGTCATCCTATTATGTATCTTTCGAGAAAATTGTCAAAAGCCGATTTGAACTACTCGAGAACTACTCTAGCGAGAAAAAACGTTAGCCATAATAGAGCTTTTCAGTTTTTGATTGAAAAGAAATTCCTATTAAGGTCCTACCAGAGACCTTTAAAATTCATATTTAAACCTAAAAAGGTAACTCCTACGGTAACTTCTTCTAGAATTCTAAGATGGGCCTTAATGTTAATGATTTTTGACTTTGATATTGAGTACGTGAAAGGCAATACTATTCCGCATGTAGAGGCTTTGTCGAGATTGAGGTTCTTTACTTCTGAAAGTGAAAATGAGGAGTAAAAATTCGAAGATACTTTCTTACAATGGGTTAAAACTGATATTTTGCTGATAGACAAATTAGTGAGGATACCAAGCGAGACCTCATATTGAACAGTATATTGTTCAGGATTAAAAATAATAAATGGAATAATTGCTCACGGACAGAAAGGCGTTTTAAAGAGGTTAAGCACAAGTTATCCATAGAAAAAGGTTTAATTTGTAATGGAGATGTAGTGGTTCCGCCAGCAATGCAAAACAGCAAAATTATAAAAAGCATACATGACGATGCTCATTGCAGAATAACGTCTACGCAAAGGAGATTAAGACTAAAGGCTTGGTGGCTACAGATGTAGAAGAATACATAAATAGGTGCAACGAAAGAAGATTTAGGCAGACAAAAACACATACATGGCCTAAAGAGTTCCAACCTTGGGACAGAGTACAAATGGATCATGCCCATGTTAATGAAGTGGGATTATTGCTAATACTGGTAAATTCGTATTCAGACTGGCCAGAAGTAATACAGGTTTCCAATAAAAGAAGTTTGGCCGTGAAATAAGCGTTAAGATTCCTATTTTCAAGAAATGGAATTCCGAAAATGCTAGTATCTAACAAAGCCTCAGAGTTCTGTGACGAGGAACTACGCCAATGGTTGAACAAAATTGATGCAAAACATAAAACCTCGACATAACATCCGCAATCAAACGGATTAGCAGAAAGGATGGTGTAAACTATAAAGAATGGATTGAAAATATGTCTCCAACGGAAAGGAAAGATAAAAACATTTTTTCCAAGATTGTTGCTATACTATAGGACAATACCACATGCTGAAAGATCGAAAAGACCGTCCGCCTTCATGGGTAGACAAATTAGAGCCCAGGTCTTATGCTACCAATGAAAAACTTTCGTATAAAAAGAATAGTGGATCTAATCTACAAGAGGTAAGATTCATAATGCTCTCGTGGACAGAACACTATGATAATAGAAAGAAAATGCAAATGGGATATTAGCGCATGCAGACCAAATTAAATTGCAACACGATAGCGATGAAGAAATGCATTGCGAGCCTGAATATAATGAAAGCGAAATTTTCATGTTAAGGCAAGACAGACATGACAGTGAAATCGAGTGTGATATAGACTCTGAAGATGAACAACCGTTGGAGGAACACTCCTATGAAAAAAGAAAAAGGTCGAGATCTCCCATATCTAGACAATCACTTAGGGAGAGGGAGGAAGATAATGAAGAGACAAAAGCTCCCAGAAGTAGCATCAGGGAAAATAAGGGGATAAAACCTCTTCGGTACAGGGAGATGAGGTGACTCATTTACATATGAAGTCACAATGACTATAAATAGCTCCAACTATTACTCATCAGGCAGCTGAGTGCATACTACTTCCCGTGAGTCAGTAATACTACACTACATCTTCAAATTATAAATTGTTCATGTGAAATGTTAAACATGAAAACCTGCAATTACAAAATATTCATAAAACCCTAATCAAAATGTAAGAAATTGAATGCATGTTAAAATATTGGCCTAATAACTTGGAAATTTTTCAGTTTATGGTAAGAACCAAAATAGGTTCACTGAAATTCCAAATCATGAGAAAATTTTAAAACAAAAGATGAAATTAACTCTGCAATATCATTATTTAAATAATAGAAAGTGTTTATTTACTTAAATCTCAGAATCATACAAATCATGAGTTTTTAAAAAAATATATAAAAATTAAAATATTCTGAAGAAATGTGAAAAAAAGACATAAAGAGGAAATGCACTTTTGAAATATATAAAAATGAAATCCATAATTTTAAGCGAATTTCAAAATACAGCAGAACAATCATATACATATCTGCATCCGCACATAGACATATATAGGTTACATACAAATAACACAAATATGGATGTTTTGCAGTAAATATTTGTCGATGAAGTTAAGTTTCATATAAAATATCATATATTTTTTAAAAGTAGCCAATTACAATATTTAATACTTGGATATATATTTATATACATAACATTCTTGTTAGTAGAAAATGAACAAAAACAATAATACATAAATTTACATACCAGTACAATTAATTTCATCAGAACTATCTGCTGTCATACAGTCAAATTTTCCATCACAGTGGAAGATAGCAGGAATGCAACGTCCATTATCACACTGGAATTCATTACTAGCACAAGTAACTTTTGCTAAGGAGGAAATCATAAGATTTTACTTAAAACTTTTGAAATAATTTTCTCATAATGTTTTTTACTATTTTTACAATGAATGGAACTGACAAGATCATTAATTCTAAATGTTATATTTTTGTAAACATACTTTTGTATTTATTGATTACTGATTAGTTTTTCTTACATTCTATAATCTTTAAGTAAGCAGCATAGATTGGAAAACAAAGAAGGAACCTGCAACAAGATTTGAATTTACATCCTTATATTTTGGAGAGCCTTATCGATTTGACCATGGTGACTTATCACTAGGTTAAGTTTAAATTTAGTTATATAGCTAAATTCTTCTTAATATGATAACATCACTGCCATATTCTTGTTTACCTAATACAATATGATATATAAATTTACAGACACCTAAGCTTTTGTTTTCTTATAATTTTCGTATAATAATATAATTATTAATGAGATGACATTTAAATAACATCTTCAATAAATGAGCTGCATGGAATTGAATTTTTATTTGAAAAATGGATCATTTTTAATACAGATCTCAGTTCATCATATATTTTTAGCTTATACAAGAATTATATAAAGGCTAGTTATCTGAAATTATTCTAAGTGC